TTTGGTGGCTGGTCGATAAAGCCCGAAATGGGATTTGGAAATTGGTTGGAGTCTCAATCTTGCAGTTCTAGCCTGATTGGTTAGGTACTAGAATGGCTTATTCACACTGATCAGCCGTGCGCAAAGGCCGTGGATGCCATATCTCAACCAGAAGATCACCAAAGCAATGAGGCTTCAAATCCGTCAGCGGGCGGAGGTGCAAAGGAAACAGATGGTCAAGACCACAGTTTCCAAATCTTCCAACAAGAAGTCTGTGTACCCTGGCTTTTAATATCACTGGTGAGTTCGAACCTTTGTTTATTTGCACATGCAGATTTATTGGGGGTCTAAACAATTAACATGCGTAGTCAGGTCTGGTGGAGCTGATATGGGTGCATCAGCTGCTTATCCCCGGGACTTTGGCCGGCATGTGGCATCCAGCCATGTATCTATCATAAATGAGCCTTGGGCTAGACTAATTAATTGAAAACAATTTGCAACCTCTTCAACTTGGCCTGGGCCAAGGGATCTTTTTGGGGCGATGGTGGAGAACCCTGATCACATTCCGGTATCCATGTGCAGTCCTGCTTGCGACCATGGCCAGCAAGGATCCGAGCACCACTCTTCCAGACCTTCAGGCATTGGTCAATGGAGGATTTAGAGACCCGTGGCTTAACCAGGTCATCTGAATGGGTGGTGGTGAATGCAGGGGAGGGTTCAGAGATCCCTCAAAAAAAAGGTACCATTAACATATTATATCTTCGAATCGACTTCTTTATCGGTAAAACGCATGCATGGAAGGGGAGGGCTGGGAGATCCTTCGAATCTGGCGCATCCGGTGCTTAGTACTATTAACTATCCGCTACCGATACGCCTAGGATCCGATATGCCGATAATTAATTAAATAATTAACCTTGCGCTCGGTCAGTGTCCTTGTCTTGAAGGCCCATGGCCTTCAAGCTAGACAAATTAATGCAAGTGAAAAGAGATGTGGTGGCAGCCACCCGACCCATGCACTTGCAGTGTTGAGGCCTAGGAGTGCCCACTCGGATCTGGCGCTTGCTGTTGAGGACGACTAATGAATGTGTTTGGGCCAGCGGTTGGGCCTCGGGCCCGTTGCACTGGATGGCACGGCTGCTTCCCAAGGTGGTAGTGGCAGCCTTGCATCGATGGGTCCAATCCTAGGCAGCTGCCCAATATCAGCGGCGCAGAGGTCGGAGGCTCGGGAGCCGGTTCAGGCTTTTCCTCGAGCTTGGCTTCACCAGTCATCTTCGGTCTTGCAAGCCTCCTCTTTCAGAGCGCCGCTCAATGCCGAATAAGAGGGCCAAATTCACCACGACAATCCAAATAAATATATAAATATAGTCCGTCCACGATCTGAACCATGGGCATCTCGCCTGTCAAGTTGATAGCGCGTGTCTGAGTGGACTCCTGGCTGGTTTCCATTGTTCAGGAGAAGCTGCTTGTTCAGGAGAAGCTGCAGCGTCAAGCATCCTTCAAATAACCGGCGGTCTCTAGCCATTGCACATGGCGCGGTTGTTGTTGTGAGCGTCTGTAAGCTCAAAGGCCTCGACACAACTGCAGGTGAAGATCAATGCACAAGCTTGCGACCTGTACCTCTTGTGAGCAAGTTCAATACATCGTCAACAAGTGCTTGAGAGGCTGCTGATAGTTCTCGACAAATGGACTTCTAGCCCAAGAGTAATGGAACTTCTCCTCGGGGATCTTCATGTCTTTTGCACTCGTCATGGCTTTGAATTGGATGGCCAAACTATTGGCACATCTGAATCTCGAAGCTCTGTTGCAAAGGCCTCCTTCTCGGGTCGCTCAGTTCAACAGCCAGTCCAGGGTGTCTTCATCCTTGTCGAACCCGTAGTCGACGAATTGAAGAGTCACTGACGACTGGAAGAGCCACCAGAGCGAAGATTGATGGTGAGTGCCAGTGGCAGCTCGTGCAAGAGGCAATTCTCTGTACCCACATGCCTGAAATGAAAGATGCCCGCCTTGGGCCATCATCGTCGTGGAGCGAGTTGTCTCACCTTCTTCAGGTGTTGCTTGCCTGTGAGGTGAGAGATGAATATGTCCACGCGCATCCTGCTGCATCGTACAGAACCAGCTCGAAGCTGCGAGCCAGGGAACACCTGTATACGTACAAGATTTACCCGCCATTTGAGCAGTTCGAGGTTGAGCTGCTTGGAGCAGATCGGGCAGCTCGGATCCTGGCCCAGCGACCGCAAGTGCTCCTCCAGCGGCGGTGCAGGCACGGATGCTCTCGCTGAAGAGATTCCAAGGAGGTTGCTTCCTTGTAAAAGCAGCGACAGTGGTCTTGCCACTGGCTGATATTGCTTTTGGACTTCATTTGTCATGCCACCCTTTGCCGCAGACTGTGCAGATCGATCGCCACTGGCGCTGAGTCCAAGCTCTCCGCTCATGCACTTACACACGCCCCTTCTCGCGCAATCCAGAGCCCAGCACAGTGTAGAAATAACAGTCAGTGGCCAGGGCAGTTCGGTCATCGTCGACACGACCAATTGAAGATCTGTCTGTTTTTGGGGCCGGGCATTGTAGCCTTCACGACATAAAAGCAGCTGTC